AGGGAAGAATTCAGAGGAAGACAAAGGAGAAAAAGGGAGAAGGAGGCAGCAGCCTGACCTCCGAGTTGCCTGGGAAGATGGGGTGGTTTATGCTGCAGCTGGTGCTCTTCAAGGCCCCAGGCCCTTCAGTGGAGACGTCAGACTCACAGATCAGGCGCCAGGACCGCTGTGAGCGCTGGTTCTGGAAGGCAAAGGAGGCAGAGGTGATGATGTCAAACACCAGCCATGGGGGCAGGGAATGCAAAGTCAGATGGAGCCTGAGAAGGGTTTGGCTACCTGGGCTCCTGACACCCTCCGATAGGACAAGCCAGATGGGTAGAAGAAGGTGACCTGTGTTCTGTAGGAGTCCTCGCCCTGGTTTCTCACAGTCAGCGTCACGTTTAAGTCCCGAGAACCACCTACCACCAGGGTGTCCAGGCTGTGGTGGGAACAAGCTAGGCCATGAGATGCTGAGGGCTTTCCTGCAGCAAGTCTGCTCCAGCAGGAGGGAGGCGCGGACACTCGGAGACAGAAGACAGTGCACGAGGCAGCCACAGAAACACACCTCTGAGGCAGCTGCTCTGTGCTGGGCTCCCTTGGGGGCCAGGAGAAGAACAGAGCAGTAGGTCATGGTGCAGGTCTGGGGGTAAAAATGAGGACAGGAAACTCACCTCATAAAACTGAAGGTGATGCTGAGGTCATCCTGGCAAATGCTGTCATTGCCACAATTCTTCTCAAAGGGAAACTGCCAAAAACAGAGTATGAGAAAAATGAAAGGAAATCATGAAAAGACGTGAAATGAAACAGTAAAATGAAACCTTGAAATAAAATTATGTGAAATGAAATAAAATGAGCTTCAACAACCTTGGCCTCTGGTCCCTTCCACACCCCTGCTGGACCCCAACTCCCAGACTCACCGAGGCTGTGAAGAGTGTTGGAGCTTCTACATCCAGCACTGGCCGGAGGTTCCCAAAATTGGACGAGGGCTTCCCCACCAGAGAGAAGTTGAGGCGCAGGGCAATGGGGGTCACTGAGTCCTCTACACAATCCTGAGAGACAGTGGGGGTTTGGTGGTCTGCCCTCCTCAGCATCCCAAGCCCACCCCATGCTTGGAGGACCCAGGAGTATGGTCACCCTCTGCTCACCAGTAACCGGAGCTTCAGGGTCTCACATTTCTCACTCAGCCCCAACGTCACTATATGTCTGAGAGTGTTGTTCTTAGTCTCATCAAAGATGGCCTGGGAATGTGGGCGACCTGGGTCCAGAGCCAGGTCATATGTGATGGTGCTCTGGGTATCTCCTGAAGGGCCAGGGAAGAATGGTGGTGAGGAGCCTGGGTTTGGAGTCAGACTGGCAGGAGGTGGAGGCCCAGCTATCTGAATTTGGACATGTTAGCTGACCTCTCTCAGGGCCTCAATTCCTTATTTTAAAATTGAAGATAATAATTGGACCTTCCCAATAGTAAAAACGAAATAGTGCCTACAGAGCATTTAGCACAGTGCCTGCCACACAGTAACTGCTCAATAAATAGTAGCTATTCTGTCACATACTGGAAAATTAAGTATATTTTTTCTGGCTGCTTTTAACTTTTTTTCTGTCTTTGGTCTTCAGCAGTTTGTGCCTTAGGATGGTACAACGTCTAATGTTATCTTGCTTTGATTTGGTAGAGAATCTTATTATTTATTTATTATTTTTAGCCGCATGGCATATGGGATTTTAGTTCCCCAACCAAGGATCAAACCCACACCCCCTGCATTGGAAGCAGGGAGTTTTAACCACCAGACGGCCAGGGAAGTTCCTAATTTGGTAGAGAATCTTGATGTTTTTCATCAATTTTAGAAAATTCTTTACCACCATTTCTTTTTTTTTAATTTTTATTTTATATTGGAGTATAGTCGATTAACAGTGTTGCATTGGTTTCAGGTGCACAGCAAAGTGATTCAATTATACATATACTTGTTTCTATTCTTTTTCACATTCTTTTCCCATTTAGGTTTAACTGTTGCTTCTTTCTTATTCTCTCTCTCTCTCTCCCTTCCTTTTGGAATTCCAATTACATGTTTATTAGATCTTTCACCATGTCCCATATGTCTCCTATGGTTTATTTTTCATCCTTTTTTCTCTCTGTGTGTTCACCTGGATACTTGCAATTGACTTACCTTCCAGTTCACTAATTCTCTGTTCTACTTGTTTAAAATATAAGTATAGTTGATTTACAATATTGTGTTAGTTTCAGGTGTACAGCAAAGTGATTCAGTTATACATATATTTTTTCAGATTCTCTTCCATTATAGGTTATACGAGATATTGAATATAGCTCCCTGTGCTATACAGTAAATCCTTGCTGTTTATCTATTTTATATATAGTAGTATACATCTGTTTGTTCTGTTTCTAATCCACTATTAAATCTATCTATTGAATTCTCAATTTCATTCAGTGTATTTTTCAGTGCTAGTGTTTCCATTTAACTCTATTTCATGAATTCCAGGTTTTATTTGAAGTTCTCCATCATTTCCTGTTTTTTCTTGAAGATATTAATTTTAGTTATCTTTTAAATTCCTATCTGATAATTCTAATTGCTGAATCACCTATGGGTCTATTTCTATTGTCTATTGTTTCTCTTGGTTTGCTGGTTTCAATGGACATTGTCCCAGTAGAAGGACCAAGGTGTATTTTAAGGTCCCTCTCAAATCTCAGCTTCCTAGATTTCTGTTCAACTCTTGAGCTCTCCAGTTGCTGTCTTCCACTGAGTTTCTAAGAGTATTGATCTGGATATGCATGGCTTAGAAGTCAGCCAATGACTTACAGGAAATTTCTATGTAGATTTTGGGACACCTTCTCTGTAATTCTCTAGTCTCCAAGACTTTGCTCTCAATTTCTAGCCATGCTGGCTGCCCAAAATTCTGACTGCTATCTCCTCAGTCTGGTAAGATGACTGCTAGAAACAAATTTTATCCCCTCCCCCTGTTTCCCTCTAGAACCACCATTACTTTTCCTCACCCCAAGCACAATGCCACTCTTTGAGAATAGAGACAAGGAAGGAAGTCAAGTTCGTTGTGATAAAATGCATATCTGAATGCTTTGTGAGTTTGTGTTTAGCTTCATCAGCTCAATCTCCCCTTTAAACGAGTCATCTCTCAGTTTAAAAAAAAGACCTGGTTAGTTCACATGGATGGGGCCCTTCATTCTCTGGAGAACTGAGAGTGTAAAGGAGTGCCACATGCTTATTTATTTAGGGGTGTTTGCTGGGCCTCCCCCCCCCCCCAGCAGGGGAACCACCTGCTCACTCCACCCAAGCTTGAAGAAGGCTATCGGAGCCTGTGAGAACTTTACTCTGGGTCCATGTCCCCAGTCATTTAACCTCTTGAGACCTACCCACCCAGCCTCACCTTCTCTCAGCCTGTCCCGTGTGTTCTTGCGGACACGGAGGCAGACTCTGACCTCCCCAGCGATCTTTCCTTTCACCACCCGCTCACGACACTCATACACATCCCTTGCCACTTCCCTGGGTGTGAAATCCATGGTCACCTCAACTTTCAGCACTGGCTGGGACCTGTGGGGGGACACCAGAGGGCCCTCAGGGGTCTTCATACAGCAAAGCCACTCCTTAAAAAGAAGATACCTGGGGGACTTCCCTGGTGGTGCAGTGGTTGAGAATCCACCTGCCGAGGCAGGGGACACTGGTTCGAGCCCTGGTCCAGGAAGATCCCACATGCCACGGAGCAACTAAGCCCATGCGCCACAACTACTGAGCCTGTGTTCTAGAGCCCACAAGCCACAACTACTGAGCTCACGCGCTACAACTACTGAAGCCTGCGTGCCTAGAGCCCACAAGCCACTGAGCCCGCGTGCTGCAACTACTGAAACCCGCACACCTAGAGCCCGTGCTCCGCAACAAGAGAAGCAACTGCGATGAGAAGCCCACGCGCCGCAACGAAGAGTAACCCCCGCTTGCCGCAACTAGAGGAAGCCCGAGCAGCAACGAAGGCATAATGCAGCCAAAATAAATAAATAAATATATTTTTTTAATTATTAAAAATAAAAAGAAGTACATATGTTAAAAAAAAAAGAAAAAGAAGATACCTGGTGTGCTCTCACCTGAGCAGCAGCACGTGCCCCTGAGCCCCTACAGCCAGGTCCACCAGTCCATCCATTGTGAGGTCCTGGCCCCCACTCAGTGACTGCCCAAAATACTGGAGCCTCGGAGAGAACTGGGAGCCTGTGATCCGCTGAGGGTAGAAAAGAGGAGGAGAGAAAGGGGTAGGAAAGAACAGGAAAGAGTGTAACTCAGTCTCCTGGGATGACCCAAGGAGAGATTGTCTGGGCTCTACTCAGTCATATCTCCCACACCTTCTCAAGGAATTAGGGTAACTATTAAGCTTTAGACCACAACCTTGAGATGATACCCAAAGTGTCAATCAATTACTGGGTTTTCCAGGGAAAACAAAAAATATCACAGGAAAGAAGTGATATAGTACACTATTTGACTCAGTTGAATCTCTTTTACATGGCCAGGAAAATGCAAACACTGAACATAGATCTAACCCAAATTATCATATAAATTTAAGGGATGGGAGGCGTATGAATATGTGGCAAGAGGGGCCTGAAAGAGAGCTCAATCCTCACCTCCCATAGTGGGAAGTCAATGCGAAAACAAAAATCAAAAAGCAGCAAAATAATTGTGCCCTTGGGAAGTGTGGAGAAACATTGAAAGAGCTGGAAGTGGTTTCCTCAGAGGAGGGAAAATGAAGAGGAAATCACAGTGTGGGTGTGGAAATTGTTGCTTTTCATAATAAGCTGTTAGGAACAATTTTGACTCTTTAATCTATGTGCAAAAGTAACACTGAAAGGATAACAGCCAAATATATTAAGAAATTTTAAAAGTGATTTTGTCACGTACTTAATGCCGCTGAAGTGTGCACATAAAAATGGTTAAGATGGTGAGTTTTAGGGCTTCCCTGGTGGCGCAGTGGTTGAGAGTCCGCCTGCCGATGCAGGGGACACGGGTTTGTGCCCCGGTCCGGGAGGATCCCACATACCGCGGAGAGGCTGGGCCCGTGAGCCATGGCCGCTGAGCCTGCGCGTCCGGAGCCTGTGCTCCGCAACGGGAGAGGCCACAGCAGTGAGAGCCCCGCGTACCAAAAAAAAAAAAAAAAAAAAAAAGATGGTGAGTTTTAGGTCATGGATATTTTACTGCCATTTTTTTAAAGTGAATTTATCAACTAGAAAGAATGAGGAAGTGCGGGATGTTGGAAATGTGCTATATCTTAACCTGTGTGGTGCTCACTCGAGTTCACAGATAGGAAAATTCATCACTTGAGATTTGTGTGTTTACTGCATGTACATTACACTGCAAATTTTTTTGAGAAAATGTTAGCGTATTCTGTTGGAAGGATGCTTTGTTTTGAAATTATATAATAATGGTAGTTGGGAGAGCCACAGCAGTTTTGCTCGTCCGCATACTGATCACCCTAGCCCCAGTCACAGGAAAAGAGCAAGTAAAAAATGCAAACAGTAGAGCAATAGTATTGCATGACTCTTTTTGCATTTGTTTTTAATTCCAAAGTCTGTGGGGTGGGAGTGGGTATATGGGGGGTTTGGTTGGTGAGAGCAGGTATGTAGGTGTGGGTGAGGGTGGGTGAGTGTGTGGACCCTCCCCTTACCTTGTTTTCCTTTCCAGGTGCAGATAAGGGGAGGGGGTTAAGACTTTCACTGTTGTTGTTTTTTCTTCTTCTTCTTTTCTTATTATTTTACAAACCCTTGTGTCGAGGGCTGACTTTCAATAGATCGCAGCGAGGGAGCTGCTCTGCCACGTACGAAACCCCGACCCAGAGGCAGGTCGTCTACGAATGGTTTAGCACCACGTTCCCCACGAACGTGCGGTGCGTGACGGGCGAGGGGGCGGCCGCCTTTCCGGCCTCACGCCGTGTCCCAGGACGAAGGGCTCTCCGCGCCGGACCCCGGTCCCGACGCGCGGCGGGGCGCGCCGGCGGGGACGGCGGGGGACCGGCTATCCGAGGCCAACCGAGGCTTCCGCGGGCTGCCGCATCGTTCCTCCTGGGCGGGATTCTGACTTAGAGGCGTTCAGTCATAATCCTACAGATGGTAGCTTCGCCCCACTGGCTCCTCAGCCAAGCACATACACCAAACGTCTGAACCTGCGGTACTGTTTACTTTAGATTTTTAAATTTGTACAAGCATGTAAAGCTTTTGTAATAAAAATGAAGTAAAACCAGAGCCTTCAAATCCCATTTACACAGAGAAACAACAGGTGCCAATGAAAAGAGGCATATTATAGTCTTCACACAATTGTGGAAAGAGGCTCCGTGACACAGAGGGAAGAATGTGAGGCAGCAGTGCTTAGCCCGGGCTGCAACTAAAGAGCGTGTGAAAAATACTAGGGCCTATGTAGTGTACTATTCCATACACTAGAATGGGCAAAACTAATCTGTGGTGGAAAATAATTGGAACAGTAGCTTCCTCTGGGAGGGAGTGGGGTCAGAAATTGACTGGATGGGGGCGGGAGGGAACTTTCTAAAGTGATAATTATGTTCAGCATCTTGATAGGATTGTGGATTATATTTTTCAGAATTCTTTGACTGGCTAAAGATTTGTGCTTTTCCTGTCTGTACATTTTATCTTAAAAATAACAGTAAGCATATCTGAATATTTTAGATTCTAGTTAATGATATACACGCTGAGGTATTTAGGGGTGAAGTTGGACTGGTGTTGCAGATTACTTTGAATTGCATTAGAAAAAATAACGATGAACTTGATGGACAGGTAGAAAAAGTCTGAATACAAAGGATGGAGATGTGATAAAGTAAATCTAGTAAAATCTTCCTCATAGATTTTAGCTCATAAATATATGGATGTCCACTGGACAATTCTTTCAACTTTGCAGTAACTTTGAAAGTTTTCTAAATAAAATGTTGAAAAAACTCTACTGATGCCTGGGGCCCTGACCCCAGACCAATTAAATCAGAACCCCTAGTGGCAGGGCCCAGGCACCTGTTTTTTAAGACCTTCAGGTGATTTTGATGTGTGGGTAGGGTTGAACCTCTAGGGTGAGGGATTTGGCAGGAGTGATGAGGAGACAGAGAGAAAGGACAGAAGAAAAACGTGAGGCTGGAAGAAAACCAGAGACCAGAAGCCAGCAGACTGGATGGCCTCGGCGGGCTGTGATGGGAGACTGCCAGACCGTGGGGGTCCCTCCACACAGTGGGCTTCATCCAGCAGGAAACAGGGAGCCAGTTGAGAGAGGAAACCATCTGTGGTGACCCGCATTTCAAGTGACCAACCATCAGGATCAGCTACATAATTTGCAGGACCCCGTGGGGAGAAAAAAATGCAGGACTCCTTGTTCAAAAGTTATCAAGAGTTTCAAGATGGCCAGAGCAGAGCCTTAATCTGAGCACAGCACCGTTCTGAGAGGAGCCCCGTGTAACTGCACAAGTCACAAGCCTGTGAAGCACGCAGTCCTGGAAGGGTGACCAACCATAGGGCTTCCTGAGCTGTGAGACTTTCAGTGTTAAAACCGGGACAGACCTGGGCAAACCGGGTCTGCTGGTCATCCTACCAAGACTGAGATTCAGGGCTTCCCTGGTGGTGCAGTGGTTGGGAGTCCGCCTGCCGATGCAGGGGACACGGGTTCGTGCCCCGGTCCGGGAAGATCCTGCATGCCGCGGAGCGGCTGGGCCTGTGAGCCATGGCCGCTGGGCCTGCGCGTCCGGAGCCTGTGCTCCGCAACGGGAGAGGCCACAACAGTGAGAGGCCCCCGTACCGAAAAAATAAATAATAACAGACTGAGATTTGGAGGAAAGGAATGTCTACATCCTAACACTTCCAGCTCACCATTCATCACCTCTGAGCCTTTATCTTCTCATCTGTAAAGTGGGAGTGATGATGGCCCTGTGCACCTCCTCTAGTTGTGGTAAGAATGAATCTTTTCTGTGAAGTATGTGTTATTTTTGAAGCTTCCAAAAAGGACTACTGGGAGAACTGATCAGGCAGCTGTCGGAACATTGAATTAGAAAGGGACAGATTGGCAAAGAGGCTACAGTTGTAACAAAAACGGTGACCGGGCCTCACCTGGCTGTGGGCGGGGCTGATGCCCAGTCCCGAGGTTCCGTGAAACAGGTAGACAGCACCCTGGTTCTCCTGCTCTCCTGGGGCCCCGATGGCCACGTCCGACAGCCTGTCCCCGTTCACATCCCCCAGCACCGTCAGAGCTGCCCCAAAGCGGGCCCAGAGGTGGCCTTGCTCCCCTCGCAGGACAGCACCACACTGCCACTTAGCCCTCTGCAGAACACAAACAGTGTCAGGTCCCACCCCAGGCGACCCCTCCACACCCAGACCCCGCCCAGCCCGGGTCTCATCAGCCACTCACCCCCCGGGGAAAGGGGCACACGGACACCTGCCCGCCCCGGCTCTGCTCATAGTAATGGGGGGCCCCGATGAGGACCAGGTCGGAGCTGCCATCTCTGTCCACATCCACGGAGCTGAGGGAGGCCCCGAAGTAGGAGCCGATCTGAAAGAGATAAGGCCAAGATCACATACTTCTTTCCACCTAAAGCAGAGCACGAGGATTTTTCTCCCTGTGAAGAAAAATCATGCCTGCTGAGGAAAGCCCTTTGGAGCGGATGTGATCCTCTCTCTGTTTCATGATCAATCCTTGTTTGAATGTACTGCCAGTTAGAGGAGTATATGATAGAGTTGACAGGTAGTGGGTGAGGATCTACCCCAAACGGTGTTCCAGGGAGATGATTAAGGCAGCGAAGAAATTGGATTTGAAAATACAGACAGAAAAGCCTGGAAAACCAGACAGGATATCCTTTCAATATATTGCAAGTCTTTAGGGAGGTAAGTCAAATTTGGCAGTCTGGCTAACAAGGAATCAACTGGCTTAGACGAAAAACAACTATTGCCACAGGAATTTTTTTGCATGATATTGAGAAATAATGTCTACCTTTAAAAAGAATTTTAAAAGTATGTTCAAAGAAACACCAAAATATGTTCAATGTAAATAGGTAGAATTCATCCATAGGAATCATCAATTTAGTCATTCTTTCATTCAATAAACAAGGGTTTGCTATTTGCTAAGCATGAGGCTGGGTAGTGGAGACAGTGCCTTCCAAGGCTCTAGGTGCAGCAGGGTGGAATGGAGGGGAATAGTAACAGATAAAAGGGAGATGTATATGGAAATTTCAAACTTCTGGGGCAAGTTCTAGGAAGGAAAGTGCAGAGGATGTCAAGACATGACTCACTACAGTCTGATTTCTGCCCCACATACCACTGAGGGAGGCCTCCCAATGGTCCAGTAAAGGCATTTAAGCTTCATCCTAAAGTCAACAGGATTTTTTTGTTTTTGGGTCAAGTTTATTGGGGCATAATTTCCATACAAAAATATTCAGACTTTTTAGTGTAGTTTTATGAGTTTTGACAAACACAAAAATTCATGTAACTGCCACGATGGTCAAGATTCAGAACAGTTTCATCACCCCCAAAATATTCCCTTATGCTGTAATCAACCTCTTCCCTCAGTCACCAGCCCCTGACAACCACTGATCTGTTTTTTGTCCCTATAGTTCTGCCTTTTCCAGAATGTTATATAAATGGAACCATACAGTATGTAGCCTTTTGGGTCTGGCTTCTTTCAACTAGAGTAAGCATTTAGGATTCATCCAAGTTTTTGCGTGTATCAGTAATCTGTTCCCTTTTATTTCTGACTAATATTCCATTGTATGGATGTACCACAGCTTGTTTATCCGTTCCCCAGTTGAGGGATATTCAGGTTGTTTCTAGCTTTTGGCAGTTACAAATAGAGCTACTAGAAACATTCATATACAGGTTTTCCAGTGAACATCTATTTTTATTTCTACTGGATAAATATCTGAGTGTTATGGCAATGGCATGTTGAACTTTGTAAGATACTGAAAACTGTTTTCCAAAGCAGCCATGCCATTTTCCATTCCAACAGCAATGTCTGAGAGTTTTAGTTGCTACACATCCTTGCCAGAACTTGATATTGCCAATTTATTTCCTTTTTTATGTTAACTATACTAATCGGTGTGCAGTTGTATCTCATTGTGGTTTTAATTTGAATTTCCGTAATGATTTAATGACATGGGACATGTTTTCACGTGCTTATTTGCCATTTACATATCTTCTATGGTGAAGTGTCTGTTCAAATACTCCACTTATTTTTGAATTGGATTGTTTGACTTCTTATTCTTGAGTTTTGAAATCCTTTATATATTCTGGATTAAGTCCTTTGTCAGATATGTAATTTTGTAAAAAAAGAAGTAAAATTTACAAATATTTTCTCCCAGTCCGTAGCTTATCTGTTCATTCTCTTAATGAACAGAGCAAAACTTTCCATTTTGTTGAAATCTTAGTTATCAATTTTTTTCTTTATGGACCATATGCTTTTAGTGTTATATCTAAGAATTCTTTGCCTAACACAAGGTCACAAAAATTTTATCCTATGTTTTCTCCCACAAGTATAGTAGTTTTAGATTTTACATTTAGCTCTATGATCGATTTAAATTAATCTTAACATGGTTGAATTGACAAGATATGGGTAAGGATTTTGTTTTGTTTTGTTACCATGGATGTTCAATTGTTCCAGCACCATTGAACTCTCCATTGAATTGTCTTTGTGCCTTTATTGAAAATCAATATGTGTCAGACTTATACTTCAGGCCTATTCTGTTCCACTGATCTTCATGTCTATCCTTTTGTCAATGCCACGCTCCTGCTTACTGTAACTTTATAGAAAGCCTTAAAATCACATAGTGTATGAATCTTCCACTAAATACCTAATGGTATTTACATAAGATCCTTTTCAAAACTGTTTTGGATACTCTACTCTCTTTGGTTTTCCACATAAATCTTAGAATTAGCTTGTCAATTCTACAAAACAAAATAGGATTTTGATTGGCATTGTGTTGAGTCTATAGATCAACTTGAGGAAAAGTGACACCTTAACAATATTGAGTCTTCCAGTCCATGAACACAGTATATTTCTCCATTTATTTAGGGCTTTGATTTCTCTCATTAGTGTTTTGTAGTTTTCAGTATAAAGATGTTGTACACATTTTGTTAGATTTATACCTAAGTATTTCATGGTCTTTGGTGCTATTGTATTAATAAATGGTCCTTTTTCTTTAAATTTAAATTTCCAAATGTTCATTGTTAGTATAGAAATACAACTGATTTTTACATATTTATCTTGTATCCTGAGAACTCACTGAAATAAGTTATATAGGTTTTTGTAGATTCTTTGGGATTTTCCATGCAAACAATCATGTCATCCCCAAATAGAGACAGCTTTATTTTTTCCTTTCCACTCCGCATGCTCTTTTTTCTTTTCTCTTCTTGTCTTATCGCACCAGCTACGTCTTCCAGTATGATGTTGTACAGGAGTGGTAAGAGTGGATTTTCCTGCCTTGTTTCCAATTTTAGGAGAAAAAAATTCTCTTTTACTTTTAAATATGATGCTAGCTGTAGATTTTTTGTAAATGTTCTTTCTTAGGTTGAGGAAGTTCCCTTTAATTCCTAGTTTGCTGAGAAGAAAACATCATGAAAGAATGGATTTTGTCAAATTCTTTCTGTGTATCTGTTAAGGTTATTACGTTTTTCTTCTCTAGTCTATTGTTATGGTTAATTACATTGATTTTTTTTTCAGAATGGCTCTTTTAAATTGAAATAAAATTTACATTACATAAAATTCATCATTTTAAAGTATAAAATTTAGTGGGTTCTAGTATATTCACAATGTTATGTAACCATCACCACTAATTCCAAAACATTTCCATCACCCCAGAAAGAAGCACTGTAACTGTTAGAAGTCACTCTCAATCCCTCCCCCCCCACAATACCCTGGCAACCACTAATCTACTTTCTGACTGTGGGTTTGTCTACTCTAGACATTTCAGATGAATTAAATCATATAACATGTGTCCTTTTGTGACTGGTTATTTTCATGTAGCATAAATTTTTCAAGGTTTATCCATGTTGTAGCAGGTATCAACACTTCACTCTTTTTATGGCTAAATAGTATTCCACTGTATGGATATACCCCATGTTGTTTATCTATTCATAAGTTAATGAACATTTAGGTTCTTTCTACCTTTTGACTATTATGCATAATGCTGCTATGAACATTCACGTATAAGTTTTTGTCTGAACAACTATTTTCATTCTGGAAAAGGATATATACCTAGGAGTGAAATTTCTGAGTCATATGATAAATCTATATTTAACTTTTTGAGGAACTGTCAAATTGTGTGCCATAAGGGCTGTATTATTTTACATTCCCACCAGCAATGTATGAGGGTTCTAATTTCTCCACATCCTCACGAACATGTGTTGTTTTTCATTTTTTTCTTTAAATAGCCATTCTAGTGGTATCTCTATTGTGGGTTTGACTTGTATTTCCCTAATGATGAATAAAGTTGAATATCTTTTCATGTGCTTATTGGTCATTTTTATATCTTATCTGGAGAAATATCTATTCAAATCCTTTGTCCATTTTTACATGAGGTTGGCTTTTTATTGTTGAATTGTAAAAGTTCTTTATATATTCTAAATACTAGACCTTTATCAGATATATGATTTGTAAATAGTTCCTCCCATTCTTTTCGTTTTCTTGATAGTGTCCTTTGCTGCTCAAAAGTTTTTAATTTAACGAAGTCCAACTAATCTATTTTATCTTTGGTTGCTTGTGCTTGTAGTGTCATATCTAAACAATCGTTGCCAAATCTAAAGTTACAAAAATTCACCTATGAATCCCTCTAAGAGGTTTATAGCTTTAGTTCTTACATTTAGGTCTTTGATCTATTTTGAATTAATTTTTGCACATTGTGAGGTAAGGGTCCAAATTTATTCTTTTGCCTGTGGACATCCAGTTGTCCCAGCACCTTTTTTGAAAATCAATTGACCATAGATGTATGGGTTTATTTCTAGACTCTCAGTTCTATTTCACTGGTCTATCCTTATGCTAGTACCACCCTGTCTTGATTACTGTCACTTTGTAGTAAGTTTCAAAATTGGGGTGTGAATCCTCCAACTTAGTTCTTCTTTTTCAAGATTATTTTGGCTATTCTGGGTCTCTTGCATTGTCATATGAACTTTAGAATCAGCTTGTCCATTTCTGCAACATTGTTGAACAAGCCCTGCATCATTATAAACCACAACTGGTCACGATGTACTATCCTTTTTATAGACTGCTGGATTCTGTTTGCTGATACTTTTTTGAGGGTGTTAAAAAACAGCTTTTGCAGGGGTGATATTCAAAATATTGAACTCCTGGGACTTCTCAGGCACCAACCATGAGCTTAGCTGGAGTGGGTCCTAGAGGTCCCCCCTAGAGGTCCCCACCCCCTGGAGTGGGTCCTAGAGGTCCTAGAGGTGTCTTCTCAGGCACCAACCATGGGCTAAGCTGGAGTGGTCACTGACTTCATAGTTGCTGGATCATGGGGAAGTTCAAAGAGTATTGGGGGGAGGGGTCAGAGTGTATGGCAGGTGCAGGGGGGAAGGATGTCTCAAGGAAACAGCTATTTATTGACAGATACAGAATTATTTCAATATTTTAATAACTAATATGGCTATACTGGTTATGGACTGGTCAAATGCCAGCTTTGCGTACAGGTAGACTTGTAGAGAGCTCTGTACAGGTCAAGTGTTGTTATTTACCGTTATTAGAAAAGTGAGGACACAACATTCTCAAATGCAAAGTTGGTCCCATGACTCTCCAGCTTAGAGCCCTCTGCTTTACAAGACTCTGCCACACTTGGAATCTGATGATGACCATCCCAGAAGCCCTCAGCCCCCAGGGTGCCTCTGTTGGTACATCCATGCCCCACACACTCTGCACTCACCTGGCTGCCCTTGATTTCAGCGTTTTTCTCCCAAGCACCTGCGTCCTTTTTGAATATCACCACCAGGCCGATGTGCTGATATCGAGGCGCCCCCAGAAGCAGGCTTTGCACCCGGTTCCGCAAGACGACTTCAGCAGCATAACCTGAAGATGATGAACTAAGAGGAAAAGCACTGCCCCCTCCAACAGGACTATCCCTTGAGCAGGGGCAGTGGGGCAGCCCCATGCTTGGGAACTTGGGGTAATTGGACCTTGCACTATATTCCTCTTCGTTAACACAATTAAAATGAAGCTTTGAAATTTCTGCCTTTAAACCTATCCCAAGAGCTTATGAAAGATCCAAGGACATCTAAACTAGTTGAGTTATGCCATATCCTGACCCCTTCTTAAAGTAACCCTGCCCTCTCTACTTACCCAGGTAAGCATCATTCATGTCTGAATCTACCCTGGTTGTGTTGATGAAGGTGACTTTATCCTGTAGCGTATGCAGAAAGGCTCCACCAGCCCAGTCAAAGCTCCCCACAGCACCCAACAAGGGACCATCCTGGGCAAGAATGTAGAACAGGATTGAGAAATCTAGAGCTTCAGTGTTATCCCTATCAAAAATCCCAATGGCATTTTTTCACTGAAATAGAACAAACAATCTTAAAATTTGTATGGAACCACAAAAGACCCCAAATAATCAAAGCAATTTTGAGAAAGAATAAAGCTGGAGGCATCACACTTCCTGGTTTCAAACTATATTGCAAAACTATAGTCATCAAAACAGTATGGTATTGGCATAAAAACAGACACATAGGTCGATGGAACAGAACAGAGACCCCTGCAATAAACCCATGCATATATGGTAAATCAATATACAACAAAGGAGAGAATAATATACAATGACGAAAGGACAGTCTCTTCAATAAATGGTGTTGGGAAAATTAGACAGCCACATGCAAAAGAATGAAACTGGACCACTATCTTACACTAGTCACAAAAATCAATTCAAAATGGATTAAAGACTTGGACATAAGACATGAAATCATAAAGCTCCAAGAAGAAAACATAGGTAGTAATCTCCTTGACATTTGTCTTGGCGATGATTTTTTAGATTTAACACCAAAAACAAAATAAGCAGTGGGACTACATCAACTAAAAAGCTTCTACATAGCAAAGGAAATCATCAACAAAATGAAAAGGTAACCTACAGAGCAGGAGAAAATATTTGCAAATCATATATCCAATAAGGGGTTAATATCCAAAATATATAAAGAACTAATACAACTCAAAAGTTTGTTTTAAAACCTGATTTTTAAATGGGTAGAGGATCCAAAAAGACATTTTTCCAAAGAAGACGTACAGATGGCCAACAGGTGCATGAAAAAAGTGCTCAACATCACTAATCATCAAGGAAATGCAAATCAAAACCATGATGAGGTATCACCTCACACCTCTCAGATGCCTGTCATTATAAGAGAAGAAATAAGTGTTGTTAAGGACGTGTAGAAAAGGGAACCCTTGTACACTGTTGGTGGAAATGTAATTGGTGAAGCCACTATGGAAAAGAGTATGGGGGTTCCACAAAACTTTAAAAATAAAACTACAGTATGATCCACCAATTACACTTCTGGGTAAATATCCAAAAGAAGTGAAAACACTAACTTGAAAAGGTATATGCAACTCCATGATCATTGCAGCATTTTTTACAATAGCCAAGACATGGAGGCAATGTAAGTGTTCATCAACGGATGAACAAATAAAGAAAATGCGGTGTATATGTACACAATGGAATATTATTCAGCAAGTAAAAAGAAGGAAATCCTGCCATTTGTGACAACATGGATGGACCTGGAGGATTATGCTGAGTGAAATAAATCGGATAAAGTCAAACACTGCATGATCTTACTTATATGTGAAGTTAAAAATAACAAAATTATACATACAGAGAACAGACTGGTGATTGCCAAAGGCAGCGGTGGGTGGTGTGCAAAATGGGTGAAAGTGGTCAAAAAGTACAAGCTTCAAACAAAATTGAGTTATTTGTAGTGAGGTGGATGGACCTAGAGTCTGTCATACAGAGTGAAGTAAGAAAGAGAAAAACAAATACCGTAAGCTAACACATATATATGGAATCTAAAAAAAAAAATTTTTGTTAATGGTTATGAAGAACCTAGGGGTAGGACAGGAATAAAGATGCAGAAGTAGAGAATGGACCTGAGGACACAGGGAGAGGGAAGGGTAAGCTGGGATGAAGTAAGAGAGTGGCATGGTCATATGTACACTACCAAATGTAAAATAGATAGCTAGTGGGAAGCAGCCGCACAGCACAGGGAGATCAGCTCGGTGCTTTGTGACCACCTAGAGGGGTGGGATAGGGAGGCTGGGAGGGAGACGCAAGAGAGAAGAGATATGGGAACATATGTATATGTATAACTGATTCACTGTGTTATAAAGCAGAAACTAACACACCATTGCTTTACAATGGTGTGT